GGTTGTACGGGAGCTGTGTGAAATCGCGATTTTACAAACAGATAAAAGTCACTTATAAACAATATGCTTGCTTCTCTTTTGTTAAGTATAGGAGTGAAATGCAGTTTTTTCTTTAATCTCTTGTTTTCCGAAAGTAAAATCTATATTATTAACATAATAATCAAAAGCAATAAGGGAAAGATTTATACATAACCCAAGCAAGTACGTCTATGAGATTTCGGGAAATCAGTGCGAATTCAAAAGGGAATCGTCTTTAAATCCCAAATTTATACGAGCACTAAGGTGGATTGGTGAAGATCACCTATGATTATTGCCTTTGTAGAAATAAAACTTTAAATCATATATAGATCACGCTAGTTTATAGTTCAATTGACTAATTTTCAATATTAATTAAAAATTCTTTCGATACATGCGATATTGGGGGATGAAAAATTGAAACTTAGACAAGGGTAAATGTTCTTGACTAATTTGAGCTACAAGCTCTTTGGAATTTCCAATCACCTTTAACCGAAGACAAATACATATATTAAATGCAACCAAAAACCATATATTATCAAAATGAAAATATGTTCAACAACATAATTGAAAGTGTACTTATTTTAATGTGTATTTTTATTGTTGCCCTGCAACTAAATTCATAAAGAATTGAATTTGAAAGAAAAATATATATATATGTTTAATATTTTTTATCCCAAAAACCTCATTGGACTACAGTACTGTAGTTCCGCCCATGTCCTTGAGTACTACCATTTCATCATCAGATCAGATATGAGTATGTGGTATTTATACAAGGGAGGGCAAAGGGTCTTCTTCTTCTTCCACGTGGGTGGCCTGAGTGAATTATTGGGCATTAGGAAGATTCGGAAGAGGAGGGTTGTGTTGGGAGGAAGAAATGACAGGACCAAGAAAATGAAAACCGGGTCGTCTCGATTTGGCTTGAGCAATATGAAGATTGGTATGTGGAGGCCAAAGGATCAACACAGGTGAAGTTCCAGTATTTGAAAAACACAAGTGCATACATATAGCTATTAATTTGAAAATTAAGATAAATTAGTAACCACCCCTCGTTTTAGCTTGTTTCTATAACGATGATAATCCATGCATTCGTCGTTCGACTAACACTCATAACTATCATCGACACATTTGTGATTTCGATGTAAACGCATTGTCTGCTGCAGCAATAAAAGAAAAAAAAGGAAGATAAGCTTGTTAAAAGAAAGAACAACAGAGCAAGAGCACATGAGTTGATAAACTTGTTTATAAAGAAGAAGAAATGCAGATTAAATTAAAGAAGTCTGGTGTGGTACAAAAAGGACAATTTGGAGGATTGTCTCGCTATCATGCTACCAATATTTTTCGACAAATTTCGACCATGTAGAGCATTGTTATGCTAATAAAATAAATTACGTTCTTTTAAAGGTATCCGATTCCGAACAGTAGGTGCTGTGTCCCGACTCTCAAGCCTTTTAAACAGATACAATATAACCCATAAGCAAACTACATAGGTTTCCATGGTGTATTGGCAAAGTATTCTGCTAGTTACTCTATGATTAAACCCAAGCCTATTACCAATGGTTTTGGCTTTGTGAGTACCCTTTCTAAACTTTGCATATGCATTCATATATAAATAAGTAAATAGATATACATATGCGACACGTTACACAATAGCGATTTAAAACATTGTATATAATTCTTGTGTAATTTACATTCTGAGTCACAGGGGCTTTCTCCATTACGGATTACTAATTTGCGGATTGAATGCGGATTTCTATTTGGAACCGTTAGATGTCATTGGCGGTGGAGATTTAACATAAAAAGCAAAACATAAAAAATACCCCTTTGCACCGCCATTTGAGAAACAAAGAAACAACAGGCAAGCCCATCCAATCCGGGAGACATTTGCCCACAGTTCTCTGGCAAAATTCTTCGGGTAGGTTTGTGGTTTGGACTGTTGGGATTGTGGCTTGGACTGCTGGGGGATTTTATTCTTCTTCTTGTTGTGCTTGTGGGTTTGTGGTGTTGATGTTGTTTTTTTTTTTTTTTGGTTCTGGATTTAAAAAATAGAACATTATCACTCAAGGTGGAGGCAGGCCATCGCTTGTCAATACCAGCACCAAAGAGGGAGGAGGCTGTGAAGCCTGGGTTTTGGGTCATTTGGGACTTGGTGTCTTCTGCGTCTAATTCCATCAGTACAAGGAAAAAAGAAAGAGAAAAAACTGTTGAGAGACTCTTCTGAGAGATTTGAGAGGTCGGTGCCTCTTGGGTTTGCTGTCAGAAAAAATAAAAATAAAAACTAGAGAAAAATTAACTCTTGTTGAGAAGCTCTTATTGTTTGCTGTCAGTGACTACACTTTAATTTAGTTTGGTGTGAACTATTTTGGTTCTCAAATTCTGTTCTTTGAGCTATTGCCCCTTGGTATGGAGCAAAGCTTGGAGCAAAATTCTTCAGGCGGGAGAGAGAACTCCGAAATGCACGGGGAAGAAATGTTTCTTTGGTGGGAAAGACGATAGAGGAGCACGGGTCTCCTGGATTGGATGGGTTTGCCTGTTGTTTTTTCGTTTCTCAAATGGCGGTGCAAAGGGGAATTTGTTATGTTTTGTTTTTTATGTTAAATCTCCACCGCCAATGACATCTAACGGTTCCAAATAGAAATCCGCATTCAATCCGCAAATTAGTAATCCGTAATGGAGAAAGCCCCCTGAGTCACATATGCTCAATGTATACTTGTGTATGTATTTACGAATGATAAATTTTATTAATAAAAAACAAGAGCCGATTCTTCTACTTCAGAAATTTATCAATCTTGGAGCTTATTGGTTCTGTCAAAGCCCCTTACCTTACATACTCTCTCTTTTTCAGGCAATCTAATAACAGATTATGTTTTATGAGCCGCGTGACATTGCAAATCAACTTGGCAAGAATCAACCTTCACTTGTTTGTGTCAACTGTGGGAAATGAAATTTACTGAGATACTGGTGCATGCTTACACAAGGAAAAGCACTCAGGCTGAAAAAGCTCCAGAGAGTGTGAATAATGAAGCCTTCCTTGAATCAGAGGATTGGAGACTGTTGGAATTTTAAAAAGGTTTTAAAAATTTAACTGTTTTGATTTATTTAATTATGTTGGTTGTTTTATTTTATTTATTGTGAGGTTATGCAAAATTAATTTTCAGGTATCCTATTTCTATATTGATTGCCTATTTGGTATAATGTTTTCGGAGAATATTTTATGAGAATGAAAACAAGAAAATAAATTTGAAAATGAAAATGCGTCTGGTAGATTAATTGGAAAACAGATTCAAAAAATAAAAATAGTGAAAAAGTATCTGATAGGACAATTTGAGAATAATAAAAAAAACATTTTTTTTATTGGATGACTTCCTTTAATTTTAATTTTCCATTAAAATGCATACTATGTGAGTGATTTTTCGAAGTCCTTTTTGTTAAGAGATTTTCTATTTAAAACCCCGATTGTCTAGCCTTCTAGGTCTCTTGTGTGCTGAAATTGATGGCAGTCCCAATATTGTGGTGGAAGAGGTTCATGTTGGTGTGATTCTTGATATGGGGTCGAGGGAAGGAAAGATTATTCTCAGCTGCATTTCAACAGCCCTGTCTGATTTCTACCGTCTGCATAATAACTACAGCACAAGAGTAATTCTACACACCAGAGATTCCAAAGGAAAAGCTCTGCATGCTTTATCAGCTGGTAAGCCACATATTAATATTTTAGTTTTTGTAGTATAAAATTAATTTTCTTTCTAAACTTTGTTATAATGATTGTAATAAATAAATAAAAAATTATAATAAACTATCATTATATACTTTTATCTTAAACTCTACTCGCGATCCTCAACAAAATCCAGCTCTAAATCTTTTGGATGAGATCAAAGTGGAAGCAATAATTGGTGCACAAACAAGAATGGAAGCAAACCTATTGGCAGAGTTAGGAGTAGAAGCTAAAGTCCCTGTATTGTCACTTTCTGAACTTCGTACTAGTCCTTTCGGTGCTCCTGGCGAATATCCCTTCTTTGTTGAGATCGCACAAGATGAAACTTCTCAAGTTACGGCAATCAGTGGCCTTATTGAAATGTTCAAATGGAGGGCTGTCATCCTTCTATATGAGAACACTGATTATAGGAAAGACATCATTCCATTTTTTATCAACTCCTTTGAAGAAGCAAATGTGACTGTTCTATATAAAAGTTGCATTGCTGCCTCCTCAGCAGATGAACAGATCATTGAAGAGCTCCGCAACCTCACGAAGTTGAAGACGACGGTATTTGTGGTGCATGTATCACATTTTCTTGTTCCTCGCCTTTTCTTGAATGCAAAAAAGTTAGGCCTACTGAATGAAGGGTATGCTTGGATCATGACATCAACTAGCATGAATTTCTTGCATTCTTCCATGGACCCATCTGTAA